ATCGAACAGCACAACATCTCGCTTGAGCATCGCCCGGAGATGACATGTGTGATGCGGATAGTCCTCTGGATAAAACGGCGACATATATGTTGCCCAGTCTAAGAACTTCTTGGCATTGCAGTCTTGTTTTCGGGGGTGGCGATCGCTTTAATGTCGTCGATCTTCAGTGATCTGGGTGCTGCGCCAACTCGCGTGGACGTAACCCAGCATACCGAAGAATTTTATAAACGGTACGTTATCTGACATTTCGCACACTGTTGAACATCAGGCCTCGTTCTTATCGTAACGCGCATCAACTTGTGTATCACTTGATCGTTTGGCCATGTTTTCAGAGCTATAGACTGCTATTGTCGTCTGCTATCCTAACAGCCCCTTCTCCTACTGTCCAAGAATCTCGTCCATTTTTCTCTGGAACACGTCTTGAGACATAAAACTAGCCCAAACGACAACGGCAAAAAGCAATGCCTCCCAAACGGCGTGTTGAACGTGGTCAATAAGCTGGATTTCCAACGTCAGCTTGATGACGCATATCCGTCTTGGCGTTGTCAAGTTTATTAGAGCACACGTGCGCCGTGAATCGTGTGTGATTTCTTCGAGGTAGGGTGTTAGTGTGAGATGCGCACAGATTGCACGATTTAGTTCCTTTGGGTCCACAGCATATGCGCGAAACTACCAGGTCTGCTTTAACCGGCTGTATGTCAGGAACTAAACCCACTCCGAAGGGTTCTGTACCGCCGCCTGATAACGCCTGCTGACCAAACTGGTCCTAGCTGAGTATATTGATCTGCGTCTTTCATTGGATGGGTGGTCTTAACGTTGCGCGTGTACCATACAGAGGGATGTTCAGGGTCCACCATGATGTGGTACTCTCCTGGAATTGCCAATTTTTATCAATTGGTTCGGAGTAGCAGCCCCCTGTAGTGTCACGGTACATCCATCGCTGCCACCTAGTAATATTATTGGACAAACCATGTTTATGTTGATATAATATTTATTGTTATGAGGAGCCATCCTCAAACACAGCTTAACAACTTACAAGCACATGATAGCAGAGAGAGCGAGAATCCGTGGAATCTCTACGCTCTCGTGCCGCCATGAGTCAATAACTTACATCGTTAAAGGAACGCACATGATACATAGTATGCATTTTTCACGTATCCTGTAGGTCGCGCAGATAACCGTCTAATTCCCGCTGTAGGACCATCTGTTTGAAACCTGACTCGTTAGCTATTTCTGACTAAATATATATATATATATATTATATATATATACTATATATATATATATATTATATATATCATATATATAAATATATAATATATATAGGGTAGGGTTAGGTTAGTTATCAGAAAAATAGCTAAACGACCAAGGTCAAACAGAGGTTGCAAGGGGACGGGGACATTAAACCCTACGAGCGTAGGTCGAGCTACGGGTGCCATGCAGGACAAGGCATTTATTGTACCTAAATAAAACTTGACCAAACAATTAGTTTTGTGAACACAAACTCAACTTCTGTCAATCCTGTCCCACAAAACTCAATTTTGTGAACGACAAAAACCAATTCTCGTCGAACCTGGTTCCACAAAACCAAAATTTTTAAACACAAAACTCAATTCGTCGAATCTCGGTTTACAAACTCGATTTGTTGCCCAAATATAGCACACGCAATGTAGAAGGGGCTTTGTGGGAGCAGAATTGACAGAATTGAGTTTGTGTTTGACACAAATTGAGTTTTGTGGGACAGGATTGAACAAATGAGTTTTGTGTTTAGCAAAATTGAGTTTTATTGGAACCGTTCGGACAGAATTGAGTTTTTGTGTTTACAATAAAATTGAGTTTTTGTGAAAACCGTTCGACCAGAACATTGAGTTTTCGTGTTTACAAAATTTGATTTGTGAACCGTTCGACAAGAATGAGGCCCTTCCTGCATGGCGCCGCTCGTAGGACGCTGGTCCACGCAATGCAAAGTGAGTATGAGACTAACAAAAATCTGAGAGTCGTTATAACTAGTAGTAAAGTTACTACGTAAGCCGTAGTAATCAAGGGCGCCGGAACTGCGGTCGCAGGCCTAGCGGCGGACGCGCGCGGCAGCACTTTTTCAGGCATAAATTTTCGCGTAACCAATAATCTTTCCAATAAATTTATACCGTCTTTTGGCGCGGTACATATAATCATGTATATAACTGTAACGTAGCCCCATAAGCTAGAGACCCAGGGTCAATGAGTCAGTCAGGGTCGTGTACAGGGTGGTCCCCCCCCCCCTAGGGGTGAGGGGGGGTTTATCCCCCCGCAGGACGCCCCTACCTGCCCACGAGAGCAGAAAAACGCATCTGAGGGGTCTTATTTCAAAAATTCTGGGGAGGCCACCCAGATCCCCCCCTTCGCGTGCAAAAACGTTCTCAAGAATGTCCAGAAAACTTCCTAAAACAGTATTAAACGTTACTGAATAATGTTAACCTAAAAGAAACATTCCCATAAACATTTCAGGAGAACATAACTTTGTTAGCTGGTATGTCTTACTTGTTAGACCCCCCCCCCTGGTCCGCAAATGCCTGTAACACGCCTCCTGCAGTCACCATGTAGCTATAAAATTTAATAATCCAGAACGTCGGCACACATTCCTCTAGCTCACCGTCTACTCCTGATTCTATGCAACAGGCAGCATGCCGTTTGCGTTATATTGAGGGAGCACTTTCGCTCGGCGTCGAGCGAGTTCATGACGAATATTAACAGTTCGATTGTGAGCACCAGTACAATTGTAATGCATGTCCTTGATGGAATGTATTTCAGGAAGTTTACAAGTTATTCACACTGTTCTAAAGTGAGAAAAAATTAAATTGGAGTATTTGGTCATTATTGAATATTTTTAATTCTATGTAAGCAACAAAATCTTCAACATCATTATTTTCTAAAATTAAGTGAAACACTTTTTTGTGCTAAATCAGCAATGCTCAAATGCCAGCAGAGCCCACTATCATTTGCCTGTAGATTTCAAAATTGATTCACGGGGAGGGCATGCCCCAGAACCCCCCCCACAAGGGTGTTTTTCACGGGGCTGCCCGACTACACCAAAGCCGCGCACTATTTATTGCTTTCTCGACCCTTGAATAACTAGAGGTCTACGGCTGGGTTTCCGTTCTGGACAGTTGACCAGTTGGCGGTTTTCTCCGTGCGTAGGTTGAGTTTGCTGGTTACTTCCCATACTGTACCATCCCCCCCCCCACACCTTCTCCGCACAAGGAATAAATAAAATTACTCGGAATGAGAGCGTTTTTTAAATAGTAGGAATTACACTAGCTATGTAATGTACACGTATTTTCATGCGTACCGTTTGTATTATAAGGAGGCACGCCGTGACTGAACCTTCATAAAATCTCCAATCGAAAATGTTAACTGCTGTATCTCACGATTTCCTCAGAGTTTGGGTATATCTACAGTTACGCCAATGTGACATTTAGATCATAATTAAATGCAACAACGTACAATTCAACCGTTAAGCTCAAATATTATCTAGCTTGAATAATATCACGATTAGATATAATTGTGGTAAAAATAAAAACGTAATAATACATGACAGAAACTACCAACCTCGCGTCTTGCAATTAGCACCGGTTATCGCACATGTGTCATGTGGAACTATTTGCGTATCATATAAATACAACTTGATGTATGAAAATATGATATTTTTCACACACAACATGGGAATACTCTGGCTCACATCACATCAACATAAAAGGTAAGAGAGCACAATAAATCTAAACAGGCAGTCGAGTACAGGTAACGAGGAACGAACTTTGTCCCAGCAAAGTGTGTGGGTGTGTGTGTGTGTTGTGTGTGTGTGTGTGGTGTGTTGTGTGCGTGCGTGTGCGTGCGTGCGTGCGTGCGTGCGTGCGTGCGATTGCGACGCGCGCGTCATTACAAATGCATAGTGAAACATAACATGCGCGTGCTAAGCACCGACGACTACTTAAACCTCCTACTAATGATAACGTATAATCATATCGGTAATATACGTGCAAAGCTGCTTATTATAAATATAATAAACTGTATTGTCCATAATATTTATTTCGAAACTTGTCTTACATGCGATATTTGCGTGCGCGATTACTAACGTTAATTAGTTGGCGATAACTATAATTCCTCCTATATATGAATACTTTTCCAACTCAAAATGATACTGAATTTCATGAATTTCTGCTGTTCTGCCTGTTCTAAAGTCCATCTGTGTTTTAGGGAAGCCGGCGCTTATCATTTCATATTTTCAAACGAATCCCGTGAGAGTGAAGTTCTCTTTCAAATCTAGTATCAAAATATAGTGTTAAGGTTTACAATGTTAGCATGCAAAACAACGCGGATTACAAGTATTCGTACTAAAATGTTTTTGGCCACAACTCGCCGCCACGCACGTCCGAATTCGTATGCTTTTCAAACACGGCTCCGTAACAGCGTTGATGCTCGAGTAGG